GCGTTAGCTTCCTCACTTTCTCGTGAGCCGTCGCGGAGGGTGGGCGCGCGTCTCATACTCGTCCTTTCTCTTGTTACTAACCCATTGTTTGTTGCAGGCATTCGACAACCATCAATTTATTTACTGTGCATATTATTAATTTATTTACTGTGAATATTCTTGTGTCCCCTCTCTTGTTACTAATCCCTTGTGTTACAGATGTTCGAGAACCATTGGCTTCGATATTTATCTTCTTATGTACTGTGATTCATTTACTGTGATTTATTTACTGTGCATATTATGTATTCTATGTGTATTGTATAATGAAAAATATTTTTCCAAACAGTTATTCCATCGAAAGAAGACATCGATCAACGTCTACATCCTCACATTGTATCACATTGTAAATCACAATGTATCACATTGTAAAATTCTGAGACTCTAATTGAAAGGTCAAACTAACTGAATCTTCAACGGTTTCTCGTGCGGCTCTCATGTCGGCAAATTTTCCAACTGAACCTGAAGGATCGTAGATTACAAACGAGTAATTATCAAATGAAAACAAGGACACAGATAAAATAATTTTGAATTATTTATATATTGTCACGACCGTTGAGCGATAAGATACGGAATGAAACCGATTGCACTCAACGAAAGTAGTCAACGTTTTTCTGCTTCGCCTTCTTCCAACAATTTCACATTACTTACACAGAACCGATGCCGATACACAAATGTACCATTCTAGAAAATAGTGAGCGTGACTTGGGTTCAAAACGGGTACAAGACTCTCGTGATGATTTTATATATAATTTACTGAATACATAATCCTAAAGTATAATAATATACTAATCGTGATCTCATGATTATTATTATTATTAATGTTATTATTATTATTACAACGTGTTCTAGAAGTAGCTGCGGCAGCTTTGTTTTCGTCTGGCACGGCAAAATATAGTCGGTTTTTTTTGTTATTTGTTTTGTTTTACCTATTCTCGCCTCTCTGTTTCCCTTGACTCACGAGTACATACTGTGCTTATCGGTGATGATCATACATGCCGTTCCGTTTCAATACAATCCTGACGATTAACTATAAGATATCGTAAGCGTCACTGATTTAAAGTACACATACAATGATCGATACACTTCCGTTTCGTCGATCTTACCGGAATCTTAAGAGCTACGTGACGATGGACAGAACATCGAAAATGTGTGTTTTAAAACAGCCTTCATTCTGCGAATTAAGCATATACGCTTGAGGGACTATAGGACGCATCTTATAAAAATCGTTTCCAATGATTCGACAAATTTTGTTACCTTTTTTCGTTTCGTCGAAAAGATATTAAGGGCGAACCTGCACATGATTCCCTCTACTTTAGAACACAAGCCTCTGAAGTACCATTTACTAAAACAGGACTTTTAAGTACTCTACACCCACGCACTCCTCGTTGTGTTTCAACACATTCGCTGCGGCTCCACAAACCGTTTTTCATTTACCTCACACAAATGTCCGTTTCAGTTCAAGGTAATGATCAATGAAACTTGTACAGAATAGGTATGCAACAAATGAAAGATAAAACTAGTCACAGGCTGCAATTGGTGTGATCCATAGCAGACGTGTTATAAGTAGAATTTAACAACTTTCAATCCTTTCACAGAGGAATACAAAATCGCAATTCACTATTTATGATTGGAAACAAAATATTCGACAGAGATATATGTACTTTAATGTGTAACTTCTCCATTTTCTGTTGAAATTAGA